ATATAACATAAGCTTTTAATCAATATTCGTGGTCAATTACGATAAGACATTATCCGTTCATGGTTGCATTTTCCAAGCCACACAACTTATTTTCTTTCCTTTCAATAAAAACGCTTGAATGTACTTACTGTATGATTCACTAAATGTTTTTTTGGAAACGATATTGCAACAAAACTGAACACTGAAATAACATTGCAACTGTTTGTTCTGAAATAAAAAGTACTTATTAAAACGATTGGTTATAAAATCGATTGCTGGTAAAACCACACTTGCTCAACCAAATGACAGCAATCTCAATCCTTTTACAAACAGACATATCATTGAGATCACAGATTTAACAAAAACGACTTCTCCTTGACTATTAATGGTCTATTCGGCTCAAAATTAAATGCAGGAGATTTAATCGCGAGAATTTCTCGAAGTAATTAACGACCGCAAAAGGTTATATCCACTACTGTCGCATGACGCCAGTCCTGTATTTGTACAGGGAACCATCACACAACACACCTCACGAATGGCTTCTAATGACATGACAGGTTGTGGATTATACGATAACGGGGCTTATACGATAACAAAAAGAAAAATCTATACGAATGTTGAGTATAATTTTCATGATCATTGCATGTGTCTAACACTGCAAGCTGTTTTTTCTTTTCTCGGCAGATAATCTTCATGATCAGTGCACGTAATGCCACTGTATCGACGAACAGTAAACAAGTCGGCTTGCAGCATTCACGCGGTGTAAATATGTTTTATTTTTCGGGTCTGATTTTTCGAGACACCCAGAGGGTCTGAGTTTTTCGAGGTCTGAGTTTTCAAGACACCAAAGGATATAACTATAAAAGGACAGAGATGAAACCTGTTCAAGCATATCACAAAATTTCATGAACATACAAGTGAAACCTCAGCAACACTGTGGAAAAATTGAAAAGCAGTGCAGTTTTTCAGCCAGATTATCACATATCAATACTGGAGAAACAGGGTCTGTTTGAGTTTTCACAATGGGTCTTTTTTTCTTTGATAAGCAACATCTCATAATTATGGCACTCAAACAATCCAAGATCTGAAATTTTTCTTGAAGATTTATTGGCCCTTGTCAGTGTTTATTAAGGTGTTTTCCAATCACAGAATAAACTTATATAACACAAAGATGAAAAATTGTCTCCAATACTAAAAAAATAAAACTATTGAAATTGACAACAACATGCAACCAGTAAACCTTGATGACAGAGCTAATTGCAGCTTGTCTTATATATATATATATATATATATAATAGTTACTGCATATATATATAAATTCTTCAACTTGATTTGAATGTATTTCAAAGAGCGCTCAACTCTTAGAGGAGCATTGATAATTATAACAAACTGGTTCAAGACTTCAGAGGTAGTTCATCGTTTTATTATGACAGCTCTGTTTCGTATGGTCAAAAATGACCACACTCATTAGGTAACTTCAACAATTGACCGTTAACTTACAATGACTGGCTATAAAAGCTGGAATATGGTTGCTAGGAGATATAAAAAGGACACTACTTTTCCATATACACCGAATCGAAAAATGGCATCCAATTTGAATTGCCATTGTTCAGGACTTACTAGCCTCTCACACATGTGATAATCCTTTTGTGTTTTCCACATGAAGAGAGGCTAGTAAGTCAAAAACAATGGTAATTCAAATTGGATGCCATATTTTGATTCAGTGAATAAGTCATGTGACTTGTATGTATAATTTCGGAGATTGTTACTTTATTATGAAGTGTTTAAGGAGGTATCTGTTTCTATGGGGGCATGAATTTGCTAGCTCATTTCGCTTGTTTAGACTGAAGTTCTTTTCTACATATGATTGTGAATTTTTCAAAAAGACAAATTACATTTCTTAGTAATGTTGTTGTACGGTTTGTATTGTTTGATGATTTTCCACGTTAGCTTGAAAGGTTTGTTATTGGGTTTGTTATTGTTTTTAGCCAACCCAAAAGCGCAACAAAAATCGCAAAAGAAAAGTGATATGGTATAATCCACCATGGAACTCCAACATGAAGACCAATCTGAGAAGAAAGTTCTGAAATATTGTTGACAGATGCTTCCTGAAAAACCATTCATGACACAAGATCTTTAATCGGCACACACTAAGGATAAGCTACTCCGGCATGCCTAACATCAAAACAATCATAACGTTACACAACAAAAAGCTACTATCAGATTACAACCAGTCACAAAATTCACCACAAACGCTAGACAAAGAATGTAACTGCCGGAAAAAAGACCAATGCCCCCTAGATGGAAAATGCCTCACATCAAACATAGTCTACCAAGCAACAGTCACAACTGAAACGTCAACAGATTCATATGTGGGACTCACGACAAACTTTAAAGAACGGCACAGAAACCACACAGCTTCCTTCCGACAACAAAACAAGAAACACAAGACTGAATTATCTAAACACATATGGACACTGAAGGACAATAACAAACCTTTCAAGCTAACATGGAAAATCATCAAACAAT